AAGGATTTTGTATTAATTGATTATATTAATTCACCGTTAGTGGAATTAAGTAAAAATGGAAACTTATATATACATATAAATTTAGTACATTTAACGAGCAACGAAGTGCACGGGATCAGCTAGTTTTTTTATAAAATCGTGAAATCGTACATTTTTTCTCCTTTCATCGCTTTTATTTTGTGTACCGTTTCGAAAATCAAAAAATGATCTGTCTTAAGTAACAGCTCAAGAACATTACCTTTCAGAAAAAATGATACACTTGATACTTTTGAGCATAAACCTAAAAAAATTGTATATGTAAAATATATTATATATTATATTTTTATATGATTTAAAACAATAAAAAATAAAAAATCTGTACTAAGAGTACTTATTAGCTTTATTATGTATTGTTATATAAAAATAAAATGTCGCACGCATCTATTTTTTTTTTTTTTTGGGAGGGAGGGGGCTAATTCAGATTACTTCCCATTAAAAAGATATAAGCCTATATGACACTGTTTATAACTCAGTATACTTCTTAGAAGAAATATTAAAACTAGTAATTATACAATACAAACTACAAAGACATTTTTATATTGAGTGATTTTAAGTAATTTTGGTTAAAGATATTTGATTATACGATTAGGGATTAAAGGACATAACTATTCAGATATTGAAAGAATTGAATATTTAAAAAAAAAATTCAATAAAAATTATTAATAAATTAGTAAGTAAAAATTTTTAAATTTTTAAATACATATCAAAAAAAGCAATTTATTAAAATATGTCGCAAATAATAAGTATTAAAACATTTAAAGAAAAATTAAATTGAAATGTTATATATGGATTGAAACTAGGAAAAATATTTTGGGTGATTGTATGAAAAATGTATGTTTTAGTTTTGATTTATATATAAATTATAAAATTAATATTCATAATATAACTAACTAGTGCCGCAATTCACAGAAGCAACCGAAGCAATGTTCCTGTAAAAACAAAACACTTGGTGTTGGTTCCAGGGCTCAGGGCTCCGCCATCATCATCGCATTATGTTCAAGTTAAAAGTTATTGAATAGGCACATTTATTTTTATAAGTAATAATTTATAAGCTTAAAACTATAATAATATTATAATATGTAACGTTATTATAGTGTTCAATAAGTTATTTTCAAGTATACAATTAGGATTTTAGAAATACAGTAGAAACCGCTTATTAGAAACACGGATAATTGATACAATCGCGTAATTGAAACAAAGTGTACMTGGACGGACAGGCCGTATATTAGAACATTGAAAATAAATCGGATTATAGAAACATTGCATCCGTTATTTGAAACAATTGGGCGAAGGTCAGTTGACATACACATCGGTTATCCATGCGATAACAAATGTAATTTAATCTTATATGTACTGTCGATAGTCGATACGTTTATATTTGGACGGTATTTTATCTTACGTACTATACGATGTCTACTTTCCTGTACGTATAGTTTGTTCAGCTTCGACGTGCGTACCTAAAGGCGATTAGCGTTTCGTTATTTCGTTTGTATTATAAAAATCTAAAAATGTCTAAACGCCAAGATTTAAGTGTTAAACAGAAGTGCGAGTTATTAAAATCATACGACATGCTTCCAGAAATTAGTTAACGGTATGCCGCAGCTCGTTTAAACGTTTCTCATTGCACATTAAATAGAATTTTAAAAATCGTTCGAATATTGAACGCGCAACAATGGACAATGAAAGTGGTAATCGGAAAAGAAAAAGARCTGGAAAAGAAGAAGTTGTAGACAAAGCGATAAAGTAATGGTTCTTAATAGTAAAAAAAAAATATTAATGGCCCACTTTTACGCTAAAAAGCAAAAGAACTGGCAAAGAAAATGGGGATGGACAATTTTGTTGCGACAGAAGTATGGTTTAAACGTTGGAAGAAATGGAGAACATCAGCTTCATTATAACATATGGAGAGCTAGGGGAAGCCGATTTTAGTGTGGCACAACTGTGGTTTAAAACTCATTGGACCGATTTGTTATCCCAATACTCACACTCTGATATTTTTAATGCGGACGAGACTGGGCTTTATTTTAGAGCTCTACCTGAACATATATATGCACACAAACTTAAAAAAGCCAAAGGGGCAAAAACAAGCTARGAGCGACTCACAATTAGGTGTTGTGTGAATGCAGCATGAAT